TATGTAAGTTCTCCACATGGTGTTGAATCCTTCCCCCCCCCCCACGGGTACTGATGTAGACAACAGACATGGGCCAAATCACAGGACAATTCATCTAGCAATACAGTAAGGTTTGGGTGCTTCATAAGTCAATACAGGACCTAGACAGTGTAAGACGTATTTGCCAGGCCCAGGTATTCCACTTGAAATACTATGGAAATGTGTGTGCGGACACATTGAGAATAAATCGCAAGAATGCACAATTTGTGACATTGCATGCCATCATTACCAATCAAAGGGCACATCTGTTAAGGCATCATCCTTAACTTCCAATTTCCTGGCTCTATGGAGCTGGAGCCTTAACTCTGGTCTTAAACTGGCATACGTATCAATGCCAATCTTTTTTATAACAACACCTGCCAGAGTGTGAGTGTTTTATATCCCCCCGGTTTTAAGGAAGAGTCAACTTGTATTGGCACAAAATCAGAAGATCTCCTGCGTGTGGTTCCTCAGTAAGGCAAACTACATGTGAATAACTATTCACGCTTTTTTTAAAAAAAGAAAAGAAGAAGAAGTATGTTTAAACTAGCCTCTTTTTACGTTGGAGAAAAGGGAACCTCCACCAGCTTTCTGCTAAAAAAATCACCCCCCTCCTCTTGTGCTTCTATTTGTCCTTGAAGGTGCTGTTTACTGGGGGATGGGGTTCCAGAAGTTTTTAAAATGAGAAAGAGAGAAAATTGTAGGCACAGAAAAAGGGACTCTTCCAAGACTTTGTGGAGGGTTGGGGTGGGGGCAAGAGCAGGGAGAGAGAACAGGTTCATAACCAGAAAAACCAGCAGCAACTACTTCGTAAGCAAATCAGGGAGCATCATACCCCCATCTCTAATGCACTATCAGAGGAAGGAAATTTGCAGTAAAGATCAAAATGGCATCTCAGCATACTAATGATGACAAGGGCAGCAGGTCCCAGGGCACACTGAAACCACAAGAGGAATCCAGGCACAAGGTAGCCAATCAGCAAAGGCTTCCTGTCCGTGTTTCACAGGAAACCCTTGTTGTTTATCAGCTCTGCTCCCTCATCAGTAAAATGTCACTGCACTCCATAGAAGCAAACATATTGTTAATTTATCAGCATATTGAAGCTGGATTTTAATTTTTTTTTATAGCCACCTCTTTTTCTCTTTTTAGAAAATCCTCTCTCAAGCGATGCATTTCTTCCACTTTTCTTCCATGAAAAACAAGATAATTGGAGGGGGGGAGAGTGAGAGAGAGACCCATTGCAAAGAATGCAAAGGTCATTCGTGGGCATCTAAGGTGTGGCAGGCTAGTATTCGTGGGAGATGATGTGCATCCACCCCCTCTTAGTGATGATGGGAATGAGATGCTGCAGTCTAGCTGGAAGACGGAGAGGTGGGGGATCGGTACTTGTGCCCATGCTTGGAACTGAAAGGAACAGGGATAGATTTGGGAAGAGTCTTATCTAGTGCTGTTTTTCTACAGTTGCCCTCCTCTGCACACGTTCCAGCTTGTCAATATCCTTCTTATATTGTGGCGCCCAGAACGGGACACAATGAGGGAATATGGTCTTTCAGACTGCTTGGACCATGCTAAGCCATGTAAGCCTTTATAGGTGATAACCAGCACTTTGAATTGTGCCTGAAAACAGACTCAAAGAACTCTTAATAGGTTCGTGAGACAGGACTTGCCTTGCAGAAGCCATGCTGGCACATGAGTCGACAATAACTTATGTTATTAGATCTTGCATTTTGTAGAGGTTGAGTGGTGTTTATTGCTGGGATGACAATGTGAATAATCGGAGGCTGCTGCTCGTTATGTGTTACTCATTATGTACCACGTGTGATTATGCATCACCTAGCATTATGTATTATGTAGTGCTTATTATTATTATTATGACTTGCATTTATCTGACTGCCTCAAATTTTTTGTATTGTATGGCTATTATGTTATGGAATACACATTGTGCTGATTATGTTACTGTGACATAAATCATCCTGTGACCTTTTGGCAAAAGGGAGTATTAAATTTTGCAGAGTTTCCTTCCCTGGAGGGTTTTAAGCAGAGGTTGGATAGCCATCTGTCATGGATGCTTTCTCTGAGATTCCTGCATTGCAGGGGGTTGGACTAGATGATTCTTGGGGTCCCTTCCAACTCGACGATTCTATGAGTCTATGCAATAAATTAAATATTTAGCCCCAGTCAATAGGAAAATTAGCTCTGAAGCTGCCCCTTCCAGGGATGTGCTAATAACCTGAAACACATCATAGGGTAAGAACAGGGTGGCCACTAGCTCTGACCAGAGAAAAATGGCAAACCAAGTTAATGGACTATGCCAAAATGGCAAAAATAACTGGGAAGCTCAGGAATCAAGAAGACAATAAATTTATAAAAGAACGGGAAATGTTTATAATGTACATACAAAATCATTGTAAACAGGTCAAAGCATTAGCAGGATTTTAAATATACTTGTAATGTAATTGATTATAGATAATTTAGGATGATGGAAATTTGGAGAAGAATTTATATGCAGTTGAAATTAGAAACAAAAGGACCCATGGATGAGATGGGGGGAAGTCAAGAGATTCAGAGTAATCTCATTATTTGGATTGAGTACTGCACTGTTGTTGTTGTTGTATATTTTTATTTTTTATTTTCTGTTTGTTTTGATTACAGTCATACCTCGGGTTACAGACGCTTCAGGCTGCGTTTTTTTGGGTTATGGACTGCCGAAACCTGGGAGTACTGGAACGGGTTACTTCTGGGTTTTGCCGGTCGTGCATGCGCAGTAGCTCTAAATCGTGTTTTACGCATGCGCAGAAGCGCCAAATCGCAACCCCCGTGTGTGCAGATGCACTGCTGCAGGTTGCGGATGCTGCGGGTTGAGAACGTGCATCCCGCACGGATCACGTTTGCACCCCGAGCGTCCACTGTATTTCTATTTTCTTTGAAAATCAAATAAAAATATTTTTTTAAAAAAAGAATAGGGTGGCCACTTAGACATCGCCCCAAAAGAGGATACAGATTTGCATAAATTTGCTAATATGTATATGATAATGTATACATACAGATGCAAATTTGAAATAATTAGTGCAATTCAAAACAGAAATACAATGCATCTCACCATAATGAGGACACCTGCGACTAGATGACCTGCGTGCCTCTAGGTTTCTTCCACTGGCCCCTTCAGAGGTATGTTTATTTTGAACCAACAGCCCCTTCAAATTGAGTACTGGCCTCTGTAAGGTGCAACAGGCACATGGCTAGCCTAGAAATATTATTCACCCTCAAGACAAGTTTTCTTAATTATCACCAGTAGTCAGACTAGCCCGGTCCAGATATGGTCATAGCTGTCTAACCAGCTGTAGCCTGAGTATCAAAATGCATCCAAAAAGGGGTTTCTCCTTCACTGATGGCAGCCCACTATTGAGGTTGTTCTGAAATGCGCTAAATAATAAATACTGCCTGCTTTTGTCATGTAAAAAAAAGTTTAGTCAAACCAAGTGCTCACCATTCAAAGTTAATGCACTTCATTGTGGCTGCATTACACCAGCCGGCAAAGTGAGATTTTAGGCTGTGCTGAATATATAGACCAACACTTCATGTGGGTTTTTTTTGAGCTCAGGTACCACAAATAATGGGACATGTATAATATGTGCTGGATTGTGGCCTCACAGGATGCTGGTAGCATTAAATTTTCAGGAGCAGAGACCATAATAATGGCAGTAGCGGTGACAGTTTTTGTAAAAAAAAGCTTTGAGGTTGCTGTAGTTGTTGTTTAACCACAAAGCAGTATATACATTTTGTTTGTTTATTTGTTTAAATGAATGAATGAATGTTACATATCACTCAAATGATAACCTGTTGGGGATTGGAGTCAACCATCAAATATATGTGTCTGGTGAAGAATAAGAATGGTTCTGCTTTTGGGTTTCCCATAGGCATCTGGTTGGCCAATGTGGGAACAAGGACATTGCGCTAGATGTTGGTGTGTGTGCAGAGTGCCCGTTCAACATGCCAGTAGAGTGTGCCAATGGAACAGTAAAACACTAGACAGTTCTAGGTAGGACCAGACCCTTTACTGACAGTATAATTGCTGTTCCACAGCTTGTAGGTTACATACAGTTGTAATATACAGTGTTTCCAGCAGCATACAGTCTCCTAAAGGTCTTCTAAAGGCTGTATAGTTACTTCGGAGGTCGCATAACTCCATACCCTCCAACATTTCTCCAATGAAAATTGGGCTGTCCTAATGAAAAGCAGGACATTCCAGGTTGAAATCAGAAACCAAGATGACTTCTGTAAATCTGGGAGTGCCCCTGGAAAAATAGGGACATTTGGAGGGTCTGGAACAGGCTGGCCTGTTAAGAATTCCCAGGATCAAGGCAAATCCCTCCCCACTCCCCTTCCCTCTCTCACCCCCCTTCCTTTCTCTCTTATGCACAAACACAAGAAGAATAAAAAACTGCTAATCAATTCCTTCCATCATAGAAACCTGACGAGAATGCGAGCTACTAAAGAGAACACATGAAATGTGACGTGCCAGCATCTGCTCTCCTTGTGCACGCTGCACTTCAAGTTTGACCTGGGAAGGGGCGGGGGGAATTATATAAGAAAAATAAAGGCACTGACGACAGCGAGCCATCAAAAAGCAGATATAAATCGCACTCCGCTGTGCTCAAATCAGGCTTAAATAGTTTGCCTATGATGATAGCATCGGAAAGATAAGGAATGCACAGTTAGGTTCTTTCAGTCCTAATTAAAATGTTGTGCTTGGAGGACAGTAGCTATACATAAAGCACAAGGTCTTGGTGATAGAAGTTGTGCTCCTAATACAGACCATTGAGTCAATTAATGTTTACTTAAAATGCTTGTCATCCAAAGAAGGAGCCGAGAAAAACGATCAACATAACCAAAAGATTGTGACACCAATTTGCATCCAGTTCCAAGTGCATGTTTTATTTATTTTCAATCAGGACCAATCAGAAGAGAAAATAATCAATGAAGTCGCAGTCATGAGTGGTATACAGCCATCTGGGGGCCCCTGGTATTTCTCGGCCTGCATCGGAGGAAAGGGAGACTTTTTTTCCAAGAGCATGGAGCAGCTCCATATGGTTGAGATCAAAGGTGTTGCTGGGTGCATGGTTCTGCTTTATTGCCAGGCACTGCTGTTAATTAGAAAACAAGATCAGAGGCAGTATTAAAATCCAATTAAATTGATATGAACAGATTGCCAAGTGATGTTCACTAATGTATAATTGAGCACCATGCAAATTTCGGTGGCTGGCTTTTGTTTTTTTCCCCCTCACTCTGGAATGAAGGATGAAGCTATGAAGTTTTTTTTCCCCTCTCCCCTCGTTGTAAAAGATAAACAAGTTAATGCACTGATCTAGGGGGTATTGCTTCAGTGATTGATGAAAATGAGAGTGGAATATTAAAGTGTGACTTTTTGGGGCTTCTTTTATAATCTTATTTTGTTCGGCGTCTCTCTCTCTCTCTCTCTCTCTCTCTCTCTCTCTCTCTCTTCTTTCTTTCTCCCCACCCCCCAATCAAGAAACATGCTTAGACTCCTCCACATTCCATCATTTCTGAAACCGAGGACGTTCCTTTGTAGATGGAGATTTGATTTGAACAATTACAAAAGCATGAATATTTCAGGTGGCGGGGCTGCTATCGGCAGATACACACTTTCCCAAGAACTACCTATTGAGTAGCCTGTATATCCTCGTTTAGAAGCTGAGGCTGCTATTATATGTAATTATATCTCTCTGCAGCTTTATATTGGGGGTGGTGTTTCAAACGTGGGTGCCATCTCTTAAATATAACTAATTTCTCCTGGGCCTTGCATTGTTGAGGCGCATGTTTAAGGTGCAGCAACACTCAAGGGCTGTTGAAGGAACATAGACAGGCAGGCATCTGAGGAAGTAGTTGTGGGGGGCTACAGTAACACACACCCACAATACCATTTCATCCTGAGTCCCCCAGCCATTCCCCTATGTTGGTGGTCAGAGAGCTATGTGTCCCACCAAGGCCTGTACCATTTTGCTGCCTGAGGCAAAGAACAAAATGGTGCTTCCTCCCGCCCCCCCAAATCTCATACAGTGGTACCTCTGGTTGTGAACGGGATCCGTTCCGGAGGTCTGTTCGCAACATGAGCAGAACACAACCCACATCTGTGGGTCTCAATTCGCCACTTCTGCGCATGCGCGTGACATCATTTTGTGCATCTGAGCATGCACGAGGGGCGAAACCCAGAAGTAACCCTTTCCGGTACTTCCGGGTCGCCACGGGACGCAACCTGAAAACGCGCAACCTGAAGCAAACGTAACATGAGGTAGGACTGTATACAGAAGCCAGTTGGACCAGTAGTTGCTTCTTAGTTCAACTCTGGCAATGGGGCTGGACACCTGAGGGCAGCAGCCCAGTATAGAGGGTGCGCCACACACATGTAGAACAGAGTTCTGAGCTCCAACAAAGGAGAATGGCTTGAGGGGGCAGCAGGAAGGGCAGCAGGGAAGCAGCCAGTGCTGCCCCCCCCCCCAGCACCTGTCATGTGAAGTGATTGCCTCATGTTGGGGGGGATATGTGCACCTCCCCACTTGCCAGTCTCATGTGATTATCATATGTTTTTAATGTCTAAATAGGATGGCCGTTTCAGCTAGTTCCTGTGTCTGTTTTCAGGTACATGGTGATTTGCTAACAGCATCCTTTCTTCATGGGCAAGGGATAATTTGCCAACATTACTGTTATATCATCTACAATTTGCATATATTGCTATGGAGCAATTTGCTCTCCCCATGACAAATCGCCAAAAGAAGCATCTTAGCTGATAGACAATTTCTCCAAGCATTAGAGTGTCAGTAATAGGTATAAACCAAGGCCAGATCCTAAACATTGCCATCTGTCCCAAATAGACATAATGAAATCCAACACAATAACTGACATTTAAAGAAAGGTACAGTCCTTTCAAAATTCACCTTCCATCTGTTCACTTTTGGAGACAAGGACTGTCTTTTTAAAAAAATAATAAATAACTACATGGTGTGTTTTTTCCCCAGTCCCTGAAGGGCACCCCCACAAATGGCTAGACTGTTAACAATACAGTACACAAGCTGAAACAAAAGTGAGAAATCAGTTTCAGTGAGGAACCATCACATATGAATGCTGTTAAGCTAATGGGGACGCGGGGGATGAAAATCAGAATTGGGAATCGGAAATGAAACTTTTGAATTTTGTCATGGAATTTCGTCCAAGTAACAAGATTCAACTTGTGCAGCAAAACCACGTGAAATGAGCTATGTGCTTCATCTTCGTAAGAAGAGTTGATTTGACGTGGGAAGCCATGCCCATTACACAAAATGAAGGGGAAGAGAGGAAGCATAAGCTAGCCACAATCCTGTCCACAGTCCAGCTTGTAGTTATAGGATCCGCTTCGATCCTGAGTTCACTCACCAGATGTTCTCGCTGTCAGAAGGTGAAAGGCATCTTTCCCTGATCCCCTTGTCCATCTGTAGCCCCTTGTCCACCTACCAACCTGCCCTGGAGTTGCCCTCTTCCTCCAGCAGGATCACAAGGCCTTCTGGGAAAAGAACCATTCCGATCATGGAAGGGAATTCTGAATCCAGGCAATAGTAGATACGAATAAACAGCGCTGTTTAAACTGCAGTGATAAATAGCATAAACTGGACTGCAAGCTGTAACATAGTGAGAGTTGCTCCACTTCTCTGAAGCAGTAGAAACAGGATGATGGTACGTAGTTGAGACGTAAAAAATTATTATTATTAGCAAAATTACAGGGAACCAGGCAGAGGGCCTTCTCGGTAGTGGCTCCCACCCTGTGGAATGCCCTCCCATCAGATGTCAAAGAAATAAACAACTATCTGACATTTAGAAGACAACTGAAGGCAGCCCTGTTTAGGGAATTTTTTTTATGTTTAATGTTTTATTCTGTTTAATTATTCTGTTGGGAGCCACCCAGAGTGGCTGGGGAAACCCAGCCAGATGGGTGGGGTATAAATAAATAAATAAATAAATAAATTATTATTATTATTATTTCATGAACTTTTTAATTTGTGATGGAATGGGTGGGACTCAGTTCTCCTTTAAAGTCTTACTTATTGCCATATTTTGGATTAGAGAAGAACATGTGAGCACATGAAGCTGCCTGTTAACTGAGCATTGGGGCATCTAAACTGGTGCTGACTACACTGTCCAGAAGAAGGTTCTGCCATTAAATGATGCTCCTCCCCAGCCAAGCTTCCCAAGGTCAAACATTCTAATTTGTAATCACTTTTAATGAGCACTAAATGCTTTTCTGCATATATATATATATATATATATAGTTAACCTATTTGCATTAAAGCATTTAAAATGAAGAAGTGTTATGGTGCTAAGTAAATAACTGTTGTCTCTTTAATCTCACCCTCTTTCTAATCACCAGCGTTTAAGCAATGTAAGAGTTCATGCCCCACCGCCATAACTAAAAACTTCCAATCCAAAGGAAATAATAAACACATTGGGTTTTTTACTTTTTATGGAAAGTAACTGGGCAGTCATTCTTAAGTGAGTAAGTGCATATATATATTTATTTGGTGGGGGTGGAGGAAGGTTACTAAAATGGCCTTTGCCTGCCCTACCAACAGCAACTGTGTCACTCCCACTGGTATGCATAAAACATATTGAAATGGCCAAATGAAAAACACACCATGCAATAGTGTGTAAAGTCAACTGCAGTTCTGCTCATAGCTTACCAGAGAAAAAGCCATTATTACGTAGTTCCCAGATCTGTGTGTCATGGAAGGCTTAGAGGACCCAACAGTCAGGAACTAGACAAGAACTTTATGTTCTGCCTTAAACAATAAGGAAACAGGTACTCCAGACTCCACCAAGATACCACTAAGTCCAGCGCCACTTTGTGACTAAACTATGGACTGACACTATCCACTCATCACATGCCTCACCCCAAATCTGTAAAATACTCCCTTTTTTTGAAAGAAAACAAAAAACAAATTGGTTGCAAAATGTATGACAAAATGCAGCACTGACGGGGGATTATATGAGATAAGCAGAAATATATTATTTGAAGCAAGGATGAAAACCTTTGTAAAGACAAAGAATACTTTATGAATTTGTGATGCAGGGATTGGCGTAAGATCTGTTTCTCTCTCTCTCTCCCTCTCTCTCTCTCTATATATATATAATAAAAGAAGCCTCAATTAAAAATACTGTCAGAGAGGTTGGCTTAAATTTGCCTTTTGACAGAAGGCTAACTACTGCTGATCTTCCAAAACAGAGGCCAAGAAGCTATCCGCAGAGTTCACAATCAGCTGTTCTCTTATGGCCTGAAGCCATTCTGGAAAACTAATGGCAACGTTTATAAAAAATCATTAGTTTTTTGTCTGATGAGCTACTACCGACTGCAGCCCTGATCGTGGTCATGATGATGATCACCATCATCATCTGGGGGAAAAGACCTCCAGGCCCAGCTTTTTGTCAGGATTATAGCTTTTTCTGCTTTACCTAGAGCAGGCAGTGTCATGTTCGAATGGTATCTCTAAACTCTATTACACTTGATACAGCTTGTGTATCAGAGCAGAGTTGACCTAACCCTAGCACAGCATCAATCACAGGAGGGGAAGGTGGAACCTGAAGCTGCAAAGCATGTGATAGCAATAAGCCTTCTTGCCTTCATCAGGTGCCTTAAAGCATATACCCAAATGTAAATTGCCTGCACTTATTTACAACCAGCAGGCACTATTTGATTGCTATTGTGTCCATACTTAGGATGCGTTGGAATATTTGCCCCACGTGGGGCTCGAACCCACGACCCGAGATTAAGAGTCTCATGCTCTACTAACTGAGCTCTAGGAACAGTTTTATCACCTCTCATTGTTTTAGGGCAACATAGTACTTCAGCTAGCAAAAAATTTACCTAAGCACCAGTGGCCCTGATCCAATTTTAGTGCGAGTATGTTGGGTTTGACAGTGTGAGGGTTTTATCTCTAATGGAACTATGACGATATTTGCTTCTGCTGATTTCTGATGTGCGGCTCAACTTTGTCATGTGATTGTTGGCAGGGTGGAATAGCTTGGGAAGTGACATTTGTCTCGAAATAATCATCACCTCTCAGGCGGCAACCCAGAGTTTATTTACTCTGGAGTAATTCTACGCTATAATTAGTGGGTTGTCAGCGCAGCGTTGTTTGTATGGCAAAATTAACTACGTCTGTTATATACCATAAAGAGCCATGCAAGGAAGAGCTGATGCTTTGCAGATACAGGATGATTTTGAGGGAGAGAAATACATGGGGCAGCCTAATCAACTGAGCAGTCCAAGTGTGCAGCATCCTAGGAGACCCCTATTCCCCTCACAGAGCTACAATTTTCAGAGTGGTTTATCTCGCTTCATGGAGAACTCTGGAAACTGTATGAAGTGTAGGTGGGTTCCCAAGAGGCAAGACGCAGTGATAACAGCAAGAACCTTTATTGAACTACATAACTGGGAAACAGGGGCACAGCAACTGCTTATATACATTCCTGAAAGCCTGAGCCACTCCCAATGTGATTGGCTGTCTAAACTTCCAAGCTGCGAATCACGAATCAGAGTTCAAGGGCAAATGGCAGAGGTCCAAATCCTGAAATGTTCTGTGATTGGACATCATGTATCGAATCAGAACACAGGAGCTCAGAATCCTTGTTGTTGTTTAGTCGTGTCCGACTCTTCATGACCCCATGGACCAGAGCACGCCAGGCACTTCTGTCTTCCACTGTCTCCCGCAGTTTGGTCAGACTCATGTTGTAGCTTCGAGAACACTGTCCAACCATCTCGTCCTCTGTCGCCCCCTTCTCCTTGTGCCCTCAATCTTTCCCAACATCAGGGTCAGAATCCTTAGTCCAGACTAAAGCTCAGGCAAACACAGACCACTGAATACAGAACACTGTAGCTCGTGAGAGGCACCTTTAACAAACTACAGCTCCCAGAATTCTTAGGGGGAAGTCATGTCTGTTTAAAAGGGTATCACGGGGCTTTAAATGTATGGTATGGATCCTGCCCAAGTCATTCTCAATAAAAGCCTTGTGAGATAAGTCAGACTGACTTAGCAACTGATGGAAGTTGAGCTTTATGGCTGCAGGGGGGTCTGAACTAAGCGGTCCTTAGTCCAAATCCAACACTTTAACCACTATTCCCCATGGACTACATAATAGCTGCGACAGTACTGAAGTTTCTGCTTAGCTGGGAAAGTGAAATGTGGAAATCGTATCGCGGCAATTAATGGCAATATTTATTAGCTTTGTTATCAGCTCCATATGTGGATCGTTTTCACACATATTCCGTTTTCCCCCATGAAACGTTCACTTTCACTGAGAACTCCTCAAGCTCTGGAACTGCACCTTAAAACACCCTTAAAAACAATTTGGGGAGTGAGACCTATTTAAGGCTAGATATCCCAGTCTGGGGGAGAAACAAGCATGGGCTCTCTCCAGCTAAATGCAATGACTTCTGGGAGTGCAATGAAGTTTTCCCTCACACTTCGCTGCCTTTGCCCCCCCCCCCACTCTGAGATTCCCTGCCCCCCAAACCTGCAGAGCAGATCTGGGGGGTTTAGTGGCGGAGGAGGCACACAAAAGGGAGGAAGAGGACAGGATGCGTCTGATTAGAAAAAAAATCCTATTGAGTTCAGTCCCATTTATCCCAGGTAAATAAGCATAGAATGGGGGCCTAAAGTGGACTTTCTAAGCATGTTTACAAGGAAGCAAGTTTGACTGAACTCACCAAGGCTTCAGATTGTGCATTCAAATCCCTAAATAATGTTAGTCTTGTAGGAATGAGAACCAGCTAGTGATCTTAGAGTCCTGAGAAGAAATCAGAAATAAATAGGGGTGCTATAGATATGATCTAAATCATGACCATTGGTATTATTTGTTGTTTTTACTCAATATTATTACCGCTTACGGGTGACTTCTGTAGCTATACAGCATTATTAACCACAGGATTAACTAATTTCTGCTTTCTGCTACCTTTGTCACTTTTGTACGGTTGAGAAGGAGCATGTCTCTTAGAGTGACCATGTGTCCTACTTCAGAGAGGACAGTCCTCTGTTTGAAGGTGCCCTCTGTTTCAAGCCTATCCCAGACATCTGAAGGCAGCCCTGTTTAGGGAAGCTTTGAATGTTTGATGTATTACGGTATTTTAATATTTTGTTGGAAGCCGCCCAGAGTGGCTGGGGAGGCCCAGCCAGATGGGCGGGGTATAAATAATAAATATATATATAGTCTGCTTTAGAGATAAGGAACCATAAGGTGCAGGGGAGGTGGAGCCATGAAAGCTACAGACTTCCCCAAATTGATGTCCTCTCTTTTTTGCCATGCAAAATCAGCCGCTCTGATTTTACTTGACAGCACCATTTCTACACCCTGATCCTAAATCCATGTGTGCAGGCATGAGCTGATACACATCTCCATTTAACTCAGCAGAACCACTTTCAGTCAACTGAAAGACAGGAAAGCCCACGTGACAATTCTGTGACAGATCTGAGTCTCTGGACTCCATGCTTGCCAGCAGCATCTTCCCTGCCACTAGCCACAATTATAATTTTTGCTACTAAATGCCAAGTTAAATTGAGTGAAATATAGCTGTCTCTATTTCCTACTCGAGCCATTCGCCGCTGCTTACTGATTTGCCAATTTCTACCTCTCCTTCCTCTTTCCGTCGCTGAATAGCTCCAACAAGGAGCCATTTACACCCCCTCTTCAACCCATGCTAACTGCCTTAAAGCCTTGTCGTGTCTCCCCGCCCCACTCAAATGGCATTTCCAAAATGCTAAACGCTTCATTCTGTTCACACAGCTCAGGCTTAGGGCTGTTGCCACCACCTCTACATTTCTGATTTAAAAACTCGGGAAATGCCTGCCATAATGATGGGTGAGGGGTTTGGAGGGTGGGTCGATATATTCCAGAAGCTTCTAGCAAAAAGGACTGAACCAGGTGGGCTGGAGTTCTCCCACTCGGCTAGGCCTCAGATTGCAGATCACTTACTTTGTCTTAAACTGAGGTTAAAGGTAAAGGTAAAGGGACCCATGACCATTAGGTCCAGTTGTGACTGACTCTGGGGTTGAGGCGCTCATCTCGCTTTACTGGCCGAGGGAGCCGGCGTCCAGCTTCCGGGTCATGTGGCCAGCATGACTAAGCCGCTTCTGGTAAACCAGAGCAGCGCACGGAAACGCCGTTTACCTTCCCGCCGGAGCGGTACCTATTTATCTCCCTGCATTGGTGTGTTTTCGAACTGCTAGGTTGGCAGGAGCAGGGACCAAGCAACGGGAGCTCACCTCGTCATGGGGATTCGAACCGCCGACCTTCTGATCAGCAAGTCCAAGGCTCTGTGGTTTAACCCACAGCGCCACCTGCGTCCCAAAACTGAGGTTAGGACCTACCATTAGACAGAGTGAGCCAGCTGGTTCAGGCAGCAGATTTTGGGTGTAACATAAAGGTAGTAAGTTGATTGTTACTTAATTTATTATTATTGGGGGGGGGGGGGTTCCCATGCAACAGAGCGGGGAGAGGCACTTATGGGATTTTCTGCCTCAATATTTTTTCTACCAAAATAATTCAGGTGGCAGAGAGAAGACCAGAATCAGAAGTAGAAGTGGGAGCAAGAGAGAAGGGAGACCAAGAGGCAGGGATGAGCCCAGCTAGTGAAGAAGCAAGGCGTCTCCCCTTTTTGCTCCAACTAGTTCCCCTCTCTTCTGGTCTCCCAGAACCAGAAGAGGTATGAAGAGTGAGGAGTAGAGACAGACACGCCAGCAGAGTCTCAGGAAGGACCTGGGAGAGGAGGAAGCTTAGGCAGCTGTGGGAAGGCAGGGACCTTCAGGCCCCACAACTGCTTCACAGGGGCAAGACCTACCGGAAGGAGTTGCCGTGCTCATTAGACTTGGCACTTCTGAGCATGCCTTGTTTCTGCTAATAGAGAGTTAACTTCACTTACTCCGTGTGATTTATTGCTGACCCACTCCTGACACAGGCTTGATTTTCTAAAAGATTTACAGTATCATTTGAAAAGCATGTTCCGAAATAACATATGTCTATTCGCTTCCATTGAGAGTCTCTTTTTTGTTGACAATCCACATTACTTAGGATCACAACGGTCCTTTTTCATTGACCATCCATATCTGACTTCACTCAATTCCTTTCCCCCCCTATTTCATCATTTTTCTCTTGCCTTCCAAACATTTGCCAAAGTATGAAAGGTGGAAAGCTTCAATGGGGTAAATAAGGCGTGCACTGAGAAGTGGCTCTGAGGCCTAGTACTAAGCACTAGGCAGTTGCCTCCGTCTCTGTTCTCTTTGCGGCACAGCAGGTTTTCAGCTTCTACTCTCAAGCTTCAAGGCCTTTTCCTAGTTCTGTCCCCCCTACTGGATCATGTTTGTCACGTATCCATTTGGATCTCACCCCCTCACCCTCTGCTCTGGCAGTACTGCCAGCTTCAGCGTCTTGCTTGTTTGCTCTTCCTCCAAATGTCTTTCTGTTTCCCCCCACCCACCCACCCACCTCGTCCATGCTGGTTGTTCGGGATGCCATGCCCTCCTTGAACTGGCTCCATATGGCATCTGTGCTTTTCCCTCCCGACGCATTTCTTTCCAGAGCAACCTTCTGCCATGAAGCCTGCTGGCCAGTGGCAACAGCTCCTGCATGAGCTCAAAAGTAACTGAGTAAGGAATGGGCTCCAGTCTGCACAAAAATAGATGCGAAGGATTCTAAAAAGAGCCTGCTGGCCTACTTTGCCCAGTGTAGTGTCCTCACAATGGTCAGTAGGCCTGTAGGAAATCCACAAGCAGGACCTGAGCAGCTCTCCTGGATACCCTCCAACA